AAGTAGCTGTTTCTCCTGCTTCAAACATTCTTCCCTCAGATTCTCCAGGTTCTCCTTCAAATACCTTTGCAATTCCCATCTTCTTATGAGGCCTAACTTGATGTGTTAATTTGCTTGGGCTGCCATAACAAAATACTACACACTGGGTGGTTTCAGCAACAGAAATTTATTTTCTTACAGTTCTGGAGGCTGGAAGTCCAAGAACAAGGGGTCAGAAGGTTTGGTTTTTTTTTGGCTTGTAGATGTCCATCTTCTCACTGTGTCCTCACATGGTCTTTCTTCTATGCGTGCACATCCCTGGTGTTTCTCTGTCTGTTATGACCTCCTCCTCTTATAAGAACACCAGTAAGATTGGGTTAGGGCCCACCCTAAGGGTCTTATTTAAGATTTCCTCTTTAAAGGCCATATCTTCAAATACAGTCACTTTGAAAGATATGGGGGGTTAGGGCTTTAAACATATAAATTTTGGTAGGTGGCAGTTTCGTCTACAACACCTGACCACCTGATGTAATGTTCAAATTTGCACCAAACTGGCACTTCCAATCCCTATTACCTTGTCCTACATTTTCATTTCCATAGCTCTGATCAACTTCTATCAGAGTACACAGTTTGATCTATACATGTATATTTTTTATGCTCTGTCTCCTCTAGTTGGAATATAAGTTCTACAAGGGACTAGAACAGTGCTTAGTACATAGTAAGCATTCCATGTGTAGTGTTGAATGAGTGAATAAAATTAATTTATCCATTTACCCATTGATGAACATTTGGGTTATTTCCAGTTTGATGCTATTATGAACAGTGTGCTATAAACATTTTAAATGTATTCTGATATACACATGTATAAAGTTGTACAGTATATCCAAAGAGTGGAATTGTTGGGTTGTAAGGTATGTATATTGTGGCTGTGGCTGCCATAATGTGAAGTCCCACAAACTGGGCAATTTATTTTTATTTTATTTTATTTTTGAGGAAGATTAGCCCTGAGCTAACTACTGCCAATCCTCCTCTTTTTGCTGAGGAAGCCTGGCCCTGAGTAACGTCCATGCCCATCTTCCTCTACTTTATATGTGGGACGCCTACCATAGCATGGCTTGCCAAGCAGTGCCATGTCCGCACCTGGGATCCAAACCAGCGAACCCTGGGCTGATGAGAAGTGGAACATGCGCACTTAACCACTGTGCCACTGGGCTGGCCCCCAAACTGGGCAATTTAAAACAACAGAAGTTTATTCTTTCACAGTCTGCAGGCCAGAAGTCTGAAATCAGGGTGTCAGCAAGGCCATGATCCCTTGGAAGGCTCTAAGGAAGAATCCTTCCTTGCCTCTTCCAGCTTCCGGTGGTTTTCAGAAATCCTTGACTTGCAGCAGCATAAAAATCTGTGCCTCTGTCTTCACATGACCTTTTTTTCTGTACCTGCATGTCTGCTTCTTTTCTCTAAACTCCCTTTCCTTACTCTTACATAGAAATCAGTCATTGGATTAGAGAGCATCCCATTACTATATGGCCTAATTCTAACTTGGTGACATCTGCAAAGACCCTATTTCCAAACAAGTTTACATTCACAGATATCCAGGGTTAGGATTTGAGCATATCTTTTGGAGGGACACAATTCAACTCACAATGCATATTAATCTACCTTTGGTAGATCATACAAAAATGGTTTCCAAAATGATTGTACCAGTTAACACTGCTACCATAGTTTACAAGAGACTGCATTCCTCCATGTCCTCTCCAACACTTATTATGGTCAGACATTTTAATTTTAGCTAATCTGGTGATTGTGGTAATATCACATTGATGGCTTAATTTTAGAATTAGCTTGCCAAGTTTCACAATGTAATTGCTGCATTTGGATTTTGATTGCATTTTAATGATAAACCAGTTTAGCAATAATTACTCTCTTTGTGATATTGCTTCCCAATCCATGAACACTGTATATTATACCATTTATTTAGTCTTCTTTACTGTCACTCAATAAAATTTTATGTTTCCCCATTAAAAAATAATAGAGGTCCAAATTCTTTCTTCTCTAGTTTAGGTACTGACAATTAAGAATAGGCAGGTCTGCCCTGTGTCAATCTGGAGTGCAGCTACAGGAAATTAAACTAGTTGGCACGACATGTCAGACGGAAGGAGGATCTGGGGTTTAGTGTTCTCATGGCTTTTCATAGTCCTTCTATAGCTATTCTCGACGTCGGCCTGGTTCAAACCCTGATGAGAAAGTCATGGCCTGCCACTGGGCCCACCACTCAAGGAGACGGGCTGGGTAACACAGGTTAGGGACAGACCACTGGGCAAGTAAATTGGAAGGTGGTGTGACTGATACCACATGTGCCTGGAGTAAGTCAGAAATGAGGCCAAGTCAGCTGGGGTGTCTTCCTGGGTTTTGAACAAGCTGAGAAAGATCAGATCACGAGGCACATGAAAGGCAGATTTCAGCTGCAAATTTAGCTGGGCAGGGGACATACAAGTAGACAAAAGACTTTGTCCCTGAGATCAGTGGATGTAGGCCAGTGCCCATTCAAGGACAAATAGAAAGCCCCTTCCCTCCTCCCCAATGCCATGGGGACACATAGGTCACCATCCTTCCTTCATACTCCTGGATATATCTTAGAAAAGAAGCAGAGAGGGAAACTGCCAGAGATTGTGTGCCACAATCCAAGAGATACTGAGCAACAGAGGTAAGAACTGGTTAGATTAGATAGGACTAAGGTTAAACCAGATTAGGCATTTAGTTGATCTTTTCTCCAATAACTTGTAGGTGTAGAAAGGCCAAATTAATTAAAGACCAAATTTAGGAATGCATTTTCTCTGCATAAATGAGTTATGATATAAGTTAGAAAACTGTAGCCCCACTACTAACTCTTCCTACTTTCCGCCTCTTCTGTCGCTACCCCACTCTGCATGTGAAGAATTCTTAACATGTTTGCTTATGCTCTTGCTCCACTCAAGTGCCTGGAGTGGCTCTCTCTCCTTAATGAATGGTGCATCAATGCTCTCCATGACACTGCCCCAGCCCGCTTGTCTAAGTGTGGTCCCCGTAACCTTGCAGCAGTACCTTCAAACTACATCTAGTGAGGCCCCCAACCCCCTCACCCAATGTGCCCAAATATTTTATGTTGGTATTTCTCTCCAAGTGTGTGGTCATGATGCTCTTTTTGCTAAGGCCACTCTTCCTTCTCTCTTGTTGAAACACTCTGGGCCCATTCATGGCCAAGTTTAAAACCAAAAGACATTTCCAACTAGTATAATTTTTTCTAAAATCTTAGTCGCCTTATAGTAGGTTTTTTTTTTTTTTATCATTTGATTTGTATCAGCTTTATCTTCTCTTTTCGGGAAACTCTGTCTTACACTATCTCTTATTTCCCTATTACAGATAGCATGGCAGTATAGTAAAGACATTCAATATGTAGCTGATAGAGCTCTGGACTATTTGAAAAGCAGGTAAGAAAAAAATAGGACCCTTTCTTCTAGTTATTATTTGCAGTTTTAATTTTTTCATTGATGCTGACTTTAACTTATAATGGTATAGTAAACAGTTATTTCCACTTACCTAGGAACACCTGTATATACGTTTGTCCAGGTAGTAAGAGAAATGTCCTTGACTTAGCCATCATTATTCCAATAGTATTTAGATCATTTATACCTTTGTCACTTAGCTAAGTGATGTTAATATTAAGTTATCATTTTTTGAGTAATCACTCTATTCCTCTGGGGCATTAGCAGCCTCAATTAACAGATGAGGAAACTCAAATTTCATTTGGTTTTTTGAAGTCACACAACAAGCAACCCAATGAAGAATAGGGATCTGAACATGGGTTGGCTAACTCTGAAGCCTGGGCTATGGAAACCCCCATGTAATAAACTGGAATCAAGAGCTTAAAAGTTAAGATCAGACAGAGACAAGAGACCCAGAGATTTCTGAAAGCTGAAAGAGGTGAGAGAGTTGGGAAGATTATTTTAGTTTGCGGTACCCTCCAGTCCTGCACCTTCATTGGCTATGAAGCCATGGTGTGCATTTCAGAGGCAAAAAGCAGTCTGTTGAGGAACTTTTCCTAGAGGTTCTGTTTTAAGTCTTCCCAGACTCCCTCTTATCCTTGTGAAATAAGTGGGGATAATCTTAATTTCATTTGAGAGATAATGAGACTGAGATACAAAGGAATCCAATGATTTTGCGATATGCCATTTCAAGGTGAACAGTAAAATGAGAAAATAAGAGCAAAACCGGATAATACTTTCTATCACCGTGAGTCCAAGAAACCCCTTATGCTGAAGCTGGGGATTCCTAACAGGTTCTTATTTCAAACTAATGTGATACTGCCCTTTCTTTGCCTTCTGATAAAGTTAAAAACATTTTTAAAAAAGCAGTGGATATTTATGAAGTAAGTGTTTTGACCAATGAAGGTACATTCAGAAAGACACCAAAAAAAGAGCGATCCTGAGATGAAATTGGCTTCCAGTCTTTGTTCATTTAGGAAAGGTTTGCCCATGTCTGGAAGGCAGAAATCATTTACGGCAATAAGTGGGTCTCTATGACACAAGAGAATGGGAAAAACAAAATGCCTGGGATTAGATGATGGTTTTTGTTGAGTTAGGATTCACATTAATTCTTCTGCTTGTTCAATATAAGAGGTTAAAGTCTGTGAAGAATGTGAAGCAAATAGGTTGCTGCTAAACTAGTAGTGACTTGAATTTTTTTAAGAGAAACTAGGGTTTCCCTCTTCACTCTGTGCAACTCAAGGGACTGCGTGGAGCCAGTCCATTCAATCTTCCTGACTTAAACATCCATGCAGTTGATGCCTCTCGGGCCTTCAGAGCCACAGATCAGGGAAGAGTGGGTACGGCACCGCCTGCTTACAAAAAAATCACTCACCTGGGGAGGAGGTGGTGCTCAGTAATTTGTAGATCCTTAGGATCCCACAGGAGCTAGTGGTTTCACTTTGGACACCAAAAAGACATAAGATACTAATTCTTTATTTTAATGAATTGTTAGCTTATATGTGTTTGGTTATATGTATATTTACATATAATATTGTGATATTTATTTCAAAGCACTACAAATACAGTGTGCTACATTAATACCTACTATTATTTAAAAAAAACCCAAACTCCACCAACGCTGGTCAGTCATTTTTGATCCTTTCCATGACTTCCATTCAGAGGCAGATTGCAGGCCCATTACAAAATAGGATAGTTCTAGGGCAAAGTCAGGAGGCAATTTCAGAAAATAGGAATTCCAATTTGCAGCCTGTAAGACAGGAAATAGAAGTTATCTTCTCACTGACCTACCCAGGAGAGAGGATGAAGGAAACACACACCCCAACTCATTCATGCATGCATTCATTCATGCAACATATATATACTGAGCACCTACTTTGCTCCAGATGCTGAAGTTACAGAGGTGACCTGTCCCTGATTCACGGGGGTTACCGTCTAGTGGGGCAATCCCTACAGCACACCAAATAACCAATTAAAAGATGTGAGAGACTTGTTCAAGCAACACACTGAGAAGGCACTGTGGTCATACCCAGAACAGAGAATTGGCAATTGCTAAGCTGCATGGCTAATCTTCAATTCAAGCATCCTACTTGCATTTCGCAAGCAAAAGAAATAATTCCTAGCTAACCCTAGCATTGTATAGACCCCTCTGTTTCATAAAAGGGAATTTACAATTTTGGAATAAAAAGTTCTTTTTAATTTTGGGTGGTTGTTTTAGATGTTTGGGCAAAACTCAGGGCCAATGTTCACTTTGTTATGTTTTGATTTCTGTAGCTTGGCAAGGCAAGGGATTTTTGTGGGTGATTACTCCTATGAATATTTTTTTCTGGATTTGATATTCCACCTACTCTGTCCTTTCATAATCATCACACTCTCCTATTAATTTTTATTCTGAAGTTTTTGACATATATAGACACATTTTCTCTATTGAGTTATGAACTTACTTATCATATACCCATTTATTTATAATAGCATTATGTAATATAGTCATAGCTTAAAAATATCCTTTTCTTTCAAATGTAATTTGAATTTTCTAGTATAAATATTTTGGCATAGGGGAGAGGATTTTTAACAAGGGAGTGGCATTTAAACTATTTCATTGCGATGGCAAGAGCCCAGAAAGCTTGTTGGATTTTACAAATACGATTTGATTTATATTTTACTTTGTAAACTAGGATCAGGAGAACTCCTAATTAGAACCATGACTCAAAGCTATAAGGAGTACTTATTGATTCATATCCTGAAAAGACTGTAATGATCAAAAGTAAACATCTATCTCCCTTTTCATCCAGAGTTCAAGAGGTTAAGTGCTATTTGTCTCAAATCCTTGGCATTAACTCCATCTTTGTAATGAAGAAGACAAACAACATCCCTATCCATTCACCATTAGGATGTAGTCTATCAGTTAGCAAAATCACTCAATTAACAGCACTCTGTGAAATATACCACTTATTGCTCACCATTCCACATCTATTTGAACTTGTAAACAATGGTCACATTGAAGAAAATGTCTCATACTTCTAGAATGCATACTTATTTATGTTTCAATTGCACTAAGAGTAGGTGTCCTGGTATTTAAAACAAGGGCTGGTATAGCATGCATATCATGGCATAATGTATTCACTATTTGTATTTTATTTAATTATATTACACAGTTGTAAATTTATATTCATAAATATGCATACACAGAAATGTCCATTCCATTCATACATTTCTGAAGCTCAGAAAGGGTAATTAACTGCCTAAGGACATATAACTGTAGTTAGTAGTAAAGCTCAAATTTTAGCTTAGGGTAGGGTGTCTTCAGAGTCTGGAGGTTTTTTACTACTGTGCTAGATGGCCTCCCAGGAATGCATGAATGTCACTGAATAATCAGAGTTGTGGTTAAATATTTATGTACAAGTTTAGTCATCTTAGTATTATTTAAAATAGTGAAAAATTGGAAATGTAACACACACAATTATGTAAAGTGTAAATGCCCAACATTTGAAAAATGGTAAATAACTTATGGTACAAGGGAATAATATTCCACCATTAAAAATCATGTTTTCAAAAAACAGACCTATTCGAAGATACTTAGAATATAAGGCAAAGCAGAGAAATAAAATCAGGCTACAAGTCAATAGGAAGAGAATGAGGGTTTTTTTTTAAAAGAAAAAAATATATGCATACATAAAAAATGCATAGAAAAAAAGACTGGAAATAAATAGATCAAAACATTTTCAGTTATCATTTCTATTTCTTGATTTGGAAAAATGAGTGATTTTAATTCTTTTCTGTATACTTATCTGTATTTTTAAAATTATCTACAATGATCACATAGTAGTTTTATGATTAGAAGACGGTAAGCTATGTTTTCTAAAAAGAAATGTACAAATGGAACTCTTTAGCTTATTGAAGTGCTTTCTTCTAACAGTCAGCAAATATTTACTGAATACGTACCATCTTTCATGTGCTAAGAATTGAGATAGGATACAAAGTTGTAATACATGGGCTCTGCTTTCAAGGAGCTTCCAATCTAGTTAAGAAATGGAGAAAGGCACACATGTTCAGTATGTAAATGATACACGCTAAATATATATTCAACATCTCCTGTATTCTAGATTCTGTGTTAACCGTATTCTCTTTCAATCCAGACCACAGTTCTGTGAGGCTGATGCTTTTATCCTTATTTTACTTAAGAGCTGGGGTACAGAGAAAGCTGCCCGAGGTAAACAGTGGGGTTGGCATTCAGAATCCTGGCCAGCTGGCTCCAAATGTCTGCCATTCTGATTGCCCTTGTGGCTTCTCAGGATGAGAAACTGGAAACCAGAGAGATTTATCTACTGGTGAAACTAGAATAGCATTTAAATGGAGAGATGGATCAACCCTGACAGGTTTGATGGACTGATCCCCCCTCCTATCCTGGCCCTCACAGGATTAACCAGAAGGACAGGTTGTTTTATTGTCACCTACAAGCCATAGATTAATAGGAAACGAGTGAGTGTGTGTGTCTCCTCTATAGCATCTGTAGAATGACCATGGGATCATATTTAGTCTTTTGCTTGCCTGTTTATTCATTCAATGTGTACCTACCACCTTGTTGGTAGCAACAACTAGGCTTAACATTGGGGACCCAATACCCTCTACATGCTCACAGTGGGGATGATCTTCTGAAAAATTAGCAATCGAATGTGTGTGAGAAGTGCTGTAAAGAGGGGTGCAAATGGGCTGAGACCCCACCAAGAAGGAGGCAACTAACTCTTCCTGGGGAAACCAAATAGTTTGTAAACTCATTGAGGGCAGCAGCTCAGTGTAGTTATTTTCCCCCTGCTTTTGGAACTATCAGTTCCCATCACAATAGAAACGCAATAACTGTGTGTCAAACTGTTGAAGCTGAGGAAGTCAGGAGTCAAGGAAGGTCATCATTTAAAATTAGGTAACCAAAGCTAAGCATTTTCCAGTTGCTCTTCAACTCGGAACAGTACCCATTTTTTCCCCACTACCATCATAGTCCACATCTTCTGAAGACAACTCTTAAGAAAAGCATCAGGAGACCCAAAAGAACAATTACTCCTTCTTCCCTCTTAGTCTCAGATCAGTCGCAGAAGCAGGGAATGTGAAAACACTGGGGTCATCTACCCTACTCTATCTAAATTGGTTCCATATGTTCTATAAAACAATGTTACAGCTGTTATCCTTTTCCCCACTCACTTAAATAACACACTTTCTTTGCTCCAGCCCACCCAATGTTGGCACTCTGTCCCAAGCATTCCAACGAGATTTCTACTCCCAGCCTTTGTTCACAACATTTTTACCACAAATGCCCTCCTCTTTCTCTTCTCCCACTCCTTTCCATAACATCCACTTTACCATCAAACTTAAAAATGTCCATAATATTTGGCCCCTGCCGGGAATTTACCTTACTGGTTTACTTCCAAAAGTTTGCCAAGATACTTACACGGGGACGTTATAGAAGCTTTGCTGTAAGTTAGAAAATCTGGAAACAACTGAAGTGTACCATCTATTGAAGACTGTTAAAATAAATTAGGGAACATCAACATGATGAAATACCATGCAGCCATCGAGGATTGCATTTTCCACTTTCGTGTATTTTGAATTGAATTATCTCATCTCACCAGGCCTAGTTTGCACTGTATAGCCCATCTCCTCCTCCCCAACTTCATCTCTGAACTCCTCCCACTGTCTACCCTCCTGCTACGTTAGCCTTCTTTTTCTTCTTAGAATATGTCAATTTCATTTCCACCATGAGATCTTGTACTGGCATTTTTTTTCCCCCACATCTCTCATCTCTTCAAGGCTGACTCTTTCTTGCCGTTTGGTCCTCAGTTGGAGCTTCTCCTCCGTAGAAAGTCCTATCCTGGTCACCTCATCCAGGGGTCTGCAAACTTCTCTGGTAAAAGGCCAGATAGCAAAGAATTTAGGCTTTGCAGGTGCAGAGGCAATGTTTTCAATGCTTTGAGCAACTGTTCTCATGGAAAGCTAATGATCCTTTTTACTTAAAAATGGAAAAACCATTTTCAGTTCATGGGACATACAAAACAAGATGGCAGGCAGGATTTGGCTCAGACAACAGTTTGCCTGATCTCTTATCTAATCTAAAGCAACTTCTCCGGTCAGGTCATTCTTGATCACAATACCCTTCTACATTTTTATCACAGCACCTATCGCTACTTGCTGTTTACTTGTTTTTCTGTTTATTATTTGCCTTCCTGCAGTAGAGCAGATGCATTGTCTATTTTGTTCACTGCTGTATGCCTAGTACCTATGAGAACGGTTGGCAAATAGCAGTTGTTCAACAAACATTTGTTGAACGAATGGTTAAGTTTTAAGACAAACTATATGCTCTTTGGGGGCAGGGGCCATGGGAGAATCATCTCTCTGTGATTCACGGTAGCCGGGAGCTTATATTGAATTTTTGTTTAATGAATGAAAGAGCTCTTCAAATTTAGCCTGTGCTAATATGATTTTGTGTAAACTCTCTTCAAATAAATTGCTCTGTTTTCAAAGGAAACAAGAGTAGAACCTTTGTCTTCATGAATTTAACATTTGTGGTTGTCTCTTTGCAGGTGACATGGAAGTTCATGACATGAAATAATTTGCAATTTTGCTGAGAGATTAATTTGACTCCTAGAGGCTGGTGAACAGGACTGAGTCTCTTAGAGAATAATGTGGCCAGAAGCCAGTGTGCAGCCCAGGATGTCTGCATTTAGGGGTGAGGTGGGCTTCAACTTAGGACCTTGTGTGTGTATGAAAAATTTTTTCTTCTGCAGAAAATAGATAAATGATGCCTGAAATGAAGACAACTTTCAGAATGATGAGGTAAGTCAAGAAGACTAAAAAAGTATTAATTATCAGCCAGAAAATAGACCTTTAGGATAAAGAGTGAAATGTTAAATTCACTGGTGACTAGAGTCTCTGATATAAACAAGCTAGCCATATGTTCTTTGTGAAAATTAGAAAAAGCAAATTTTGTGAAATGGATTCAGTGTTTCAGCCAGGAACAAAGCTGGTCATCAGGTGAAGTTGGATCATTCACACATAATTTTACAGTTATAAGAAGCTACATTGCATGGGGAAAATGATATGACAGTCTCTATGAATTTGTGGATTTTCAAGGGTTCCAAGCACTCTCCCTCATGAGTTAAAGAATCTATTGTTATTTAATGAGCTCATGGGGAGTTGGCATCTTCACAAACAAGAGACGGAGATTAACCTATAAAAAAGAATTAATTAGAGAGGATATTAACACTGGCAGAATTTAAACGCAGAGGACGCTCTGTCCTATTATTGAAGTATCCATTTCTCTGTTCTCTCCTCAAAACCCCCCTTCGCATTTTGTTCTCATTGCTGTGTACTTTTGATCCTTTCCCCTCAATTCTCCTGCCAGCCATTTTCCCCTGGAAATGTTCTACCATTAACAAATGCCTTACTGTTTAATGTTCTCTCTGAAAGTTCAGAAAATGACACAGACAATGTCTAATTATTAGCTTGCACAGTATGACCAGTGTCAACATTGTTACATTTTGCATAATTTCATGGACAGAATCTGTTTTACTTAAATACCATCAAACTAATTTACTCCGGATCAATGGGCAAGCTGATAACAGTTATAAGATGATTCTGTAGACACAGCCTATTCTAGGGGCAAATGTGTTTTATCTAAATGATCAAAAAGAAGCAGCATAATATTTGATATATTAACTCATGTGTTTCATTCCTGGCATTCCCTTGTACCTCTTGCCTTTCCCTGATTCAGCTGGTGGTACACCATTGGTTAATAAATGAAAATATCCTGCTTCATTTGAATCAACTGGTTTAAACTCAGAGAACAAGAGTACAATTCTTAACTTTGGTGTTTTAAAAGCTAAAACCAAGCATAAAATCTTTTGATGTGGAAGAATGTATAAGCAGGTAGTTTTCCTTATTCTTGGAAATAGGTAAAGGTTGTCTGGACTGGGGGATGGAAAGAATAGTTGGAGGGAAGCAAGTGAACTGAGATACGTGTCTCTGAGAATGGGGCCATGACTCTACCCCTATGCCAGACTGACAGTCCCAGGATAGGAATGGAACAAGATGAAAGAACTTCAGATAGTTTGGGAGAATCGGAAAACAGAGAGGAATTTTGCCTTGTGCTTCCTGGGTAGAACCTGGGAAAGCAGTGAGGCCTCTGGTTGCCTGCCCTGTGGGGATTGTATTTAATCATCCATTCACTCATTTGTCCACTCAGCATGTATCTTCTGCCTACCTAGTGGAAGACACTGCATTTTGCACTGAGAATGCCAATGTGTAGAGCAAAAGTATAGGGCCTGATATTAGTCTACAAAATCTTTGCCCACGGTCTGCCCTTCAAGCTGATGATAACTCCATCCCTCCAGTGTTCGGACAAAATCTTGGCATCATCTTCAATTCATCTTTCTGTCATACCCTGTAACCAATCCCATGAGAAATTCTGTTGGCTCTAACTTCAAAATATATCCAGAATCCGAACACTTCTCTCCACCTCCACGGCTACTGAAATAGCTCATAAGTCACCTTGCTCCAACCTTCCTTCTACAGTATGTTCTCCACATAACAACCAGAGTAATCCCTTTACAATCTAAGTCAGACTATGTCAGTCTTCTGCTCAAAACTCTCCATGAATTCCCCATTTCACTCAGAGTAAAAGCCTGAGCCAATCTGCCCCTCCCCATTGCCTTTCCAAATGCATCTCTTGCTTTTTTCACCTTTGCTCACTCTACTCTGCCACACTGGCCTTCCTGCTGTTTCTCAAGTGGGCTCACTCCTGCCCTCAGGTCTCTGCACTTACTGTTCCCTCTGCCTGGAATGCCCTTCTCCCAGCTGTCCACTTGATGAGCTTCTTCACCTCTCAAGTCTTTGCTCAAACATCACCTTCTCAATGAGCTCTATTATTATTATTATTTTTTTGCTGAGGAAGATTCACCCTGAGCTAATATCTGCTGCCAATCTTCCTCTTTTTGTGTGTGAGCCACCAGCACAACATGACCACTGACAGACGAATGATGTAGATCTGCTCCCAGATAGTGAACCTGGGTTGCTGAAGTGGAGTGTGCCAAACTTAACCACCAGGCCACCAGGGCTGGCCCACAATGAGCTCTGTTCCAACAAGCCTATTTAAAATTTCAAACCACCATCCCTAGCCTGCATTCCTAAATCCTATTTACCTTGTTCTGCTTTATTCCATGGCACTTATCAACTTCTAACATACTATACAATTAGACATTTATTATACTTATTATTTATTACTCATTTCTTCATCCCATAATGCATAATTCACGAAGCCAGGGATTTTTGTCAGTTTTGTTCACTGAAGTTTTCCAAGAATCTAGAATAGGGCCTGGAATATAATAGTTGCTTAGAATTATTTGCTGATAGAGATTGTTGAATGGATTGCTTTACAGTGTAGAAAATAGCAGAATGATTCCTCAAGCGAGAAAAGTAGCACAATTTTAGTTGAAAATCTTGACCCAGAGAGGCACGGAAGAGGGCTCACAAATGGCTGAGAAAGAGTTCAACCTGAGAGAGCGTGAGGTCAGAGCAAGGGGTGCCACTTGCTCTGAGCACTGTGGACGGATGATTGGGGTGACTGAGTATAAGGCAGGGTGGACAACTGGCCACCAACAATCAGACACCCCACACCATGCCAACACTTTATAAGACTCTTATTATTTAGATGCAACTTTGAGTAAAAGGCAGATTAATTTTTCTTCTCCTGGCAGAATACGGGTTAAAAATAAAAAGTAATATAATATATAGAAAACATTACATGATTTTTGCACTTGAGTGTGGACTGAGATTTGTATCTTCTACCACAACAATATGGTCAACCTTTGTGATTCCTCAGTAAACTTGGATCCAGTCAACTGTGTCACAGCTGACACGTGAAGTGTGGTACTGAGAAATGAGTACGTGAAGCAGAGAGAAAAAATGGCTGCCTTTTACCATTTTTCCATTGTGCAAAAGTCAACTTTTCATGTTATGCACTGTCTTAAAAGTCTTCTTATTCATATTTTTAGATTGTGGTGTAATTTCTCAGAAGCTTGAGAGGGTATTATTAGATGATATTTATTCCAATATCCTCCCATTGCTTATTCCAATAGACACAGTGTACTTACCTCATGGACAATAAAATGGGAACTTTACTTCCATTTATATATTTAAAAAACCATAGTAAATACCTGCCATATGTGAGATAGTCTCTACAAATGAAGTGCATACAAGCTGAAATGCTAGCAGCCTCATAGATTTTTCCATCTATGTTCCAGTGGGACATCAAGAATAACATGTCCAAAATGGAACTCATCTTCAAGCTTTAAATCCACTTGTCCTCTGTTCTTTAACTTGGCTAAAGTCATCTCCTTCCATCTAGTCATCTAAGCCAGAAACCCTGGAGTGCTTCTAGAACAGTGCTACTTAAAGTGTGGTCTGCAGGTGAACATTGGGCCACAGATTACCATTGTGACAAGATAAGTATGGAAATTGAAAGTAAGCA